TCTCCTGATTTTGTAGTTGAAAAACAAGAGCAAATATAATGTGCGCCACCGAGCAAAACAACCGAGCCTCCATCGCGGAACCCGCCGCCGAATCCGCCGCCATACACTCCATATCTGGTTCAACGGTTACGTCCACTCCAGTCCCCGATTGGATCGCTGAGTCGATCAACGGTGGATTGTTGCCAAACGTCGACGCCGATAACGGAATCAACGGCTGGGCTTCACCTCACGGGGATTTATTCTCTCTTCGTTCCGTGAACTACCTTACTAAACGACAGAAATCCTCCGCCGGCGATTACCTTCTCTCTCCCGTCGGCATGGACTGGCTCAAGTCCACTTCCAAGCTCGAAAACGTACTAGCTCGTCCCGATAACCGTATTTCTCAGGCGTTAAGAAAAGCTCAATCTCAAGGCAAATCGATGAAAAGCTTCGTTTTCGCCGTCAATCTCCAGATCCCCGGTAAGGATCATTACAGCGCTGTTTTTTATTTCGCGACGGAGGATACGATCCCTCCCGGCTCGTTACTTCACCGGTTCATCAACGGCGACGACGGGTTCAGGAACCAGCGGTTCAAGATCGTTAACCGGATCGTCAAAGGACCTTGGATCGTGAAAAAGGCGGTGGGCAATTACGCGGCGTTCTTGTAAGGTAAAGCTCTGACGTGTAATAACCATAGAGGGGCTAATTACTTGGAAATCGACGTTGACATCACCAGCTCGACGATTGCTAACGCGATTTTGCATCTCGCGTTGGGATACGTCACGAGCGTGACGATCGATATGGGATTCCTGGTGGAAGCGCAGACGGAGGATGAGTTGCTGGAGAAGTTGATCGGTGCTGTTAGGGTTTGTCAGATAGATATGTCATCGGCAACTCTTGTTGACGCACTCACTCCGCCAGTTCCTACGGCTGCGGTGGCGCGTGGGATGGCGTGTTCTAAGGTTAATCACCATAATCCGGGCTGCAATGACGACGACGACGACAAGTGTTAACGGCGTTCAATCTGAACCTTTTCTTCTGTCATTTTTACATCGAATCTGTTCTTTTTTATCTTCATCATGTGAACTGGAAGGATTGCTTGAAGGGTTTAGATAATAAAGGGAAAATAACAAATATTCGTTGATTTCGTTTTTTTAATTGATTCTTTTTTGCCATTAGATTTTCGTATCTCTACAATGGAGAAGAAGAAGAACTGGGGTAATGGTGAAGGTTGCGACGGCGGTGGCCGGTGGTTGCGTGGGGTCGAGAAAAGAATGGCTTTTGCCAGGCTTTTAATGCTCAAATTGCGATGCAAGTGGATCCATTGGCCTTTCTGCCAAATCCTGCCAGTGGGAGGATGATGTCTAATTTCCAACGATGAATTCAAAGAAAAACAGGTAGGATATATATATATATTAGTTAAACTACACCTTTGGTAACTTAACTTTACATTCTTTCCTATTTTACTCATTGTACTTTCAATATTTTCAATTTACTCACTAAAATTTCACTCTGTCGTTAAATAATTAATGGTGTTATGACATGGTTGTATTTTAATCAAAACGGTGACAATTTAGTTTAAATTTTTTTAAGAATTCAAAACGATGTCATTTTGATGTAAGTTACCATGCCATAAAGTCATTTAATTATTTAACGGTGGAGTGACTAAAAAACTGAATCTATAAAGTTTAGTGAGTAAATTGAAAAAATAAGAAAGAGAGTAAAGTTAAGTTACCAAATGTGTAATTTACTCATTAAATAATGGGTAAATTATGCGTTTAGTAATCAATTTTGATCCGTAATAGTATCTAAACTTTCAATTATTTTCAAAGCTATACCTAAAATTTATTTTTTGTTTCATTTTAGTACCCTCGTTAAAAACGTAACATTAAGTTTTGAAAAAATTGAAAATTTAGGTAATAAAATGGACCAAAACTGATAGCTTATGTATTAAACGCGTTAAGTTTTTAACGATGAGTATTAAAATAAAATAAAAACTAAACGTTAGATATGCTTTTTAAAAGATGAAAGTTTAGGTATTAAAACGAACTAAAATTGATATTTAAGTACTAAATGCACAGTTTACTCTATGATACAACAAAAAGTAGGAATAAAGAGTTGTCATCCCAAATGTGCCAATGCAGTTGTTTCGTATGTGGTTAAAGATTCCAAGTGATGTGAAATAGGAGAATCATCAGGAGCAATAAAACTAACACCCTAAACTACGGGTGTGCAAATCCAGGTACCCAAACTTTTGGGTACCCGATTTTCGGGTATCCGAAATTTTTGGGTCGATGATTTTTTAATCCGTGTCTCGATCCGAATGTTAGGGGTATTCGGTAATTGGGTATCTGGATTTTGCGGGTATTCGGTAATCGGTTATCCGATACTCGGTTTTTAATTTTTTATTTTCAAATTATTAATTTTAAAAAATATATACACAAATTTAAATATTCAAAACTTCAAATTACATACTCTAATATCCGAACATAAAATTTAAAAAAATTAAAAGTTCAAAATACAAAATATAATAATCCATAATATAAATAATTTATTATATTTTATATAATTATATATATATAAAAAAAAAAACTAATCGGGTACACGGGTACCCGGGTATCCAGAAAAACTAGATTTTGTGACCTGGGCCCGACTCGGGAAATGTCAGGACGGGTAATTTTTTTAGAGAATTACCCGGTTTTTTTAGATCCGGGTCGGCGGGTCGGGTCAACCGGATCGGGTAATTTTGCACACCCCTACCCTAAACCCTAGTATCATTCTAACATTTAAATTTTATTTAATCTTTTTCAAGTTAAATCAAATAAAATATATTTATTTAGATTTTTTATTAAACTAAGGTGGTTTATAAAATATTATATGTTCTAAATATTCTCAATCATTTGAGATTATTCATTAAATATTCATTACATTTTTTATTTACTCTAATTATAAAGCTAAGGTGATTTTAATTAAGTGACCAATTTCAATATTCATTAAATTTTTTATTTACGCTATTTTGGTTGTTTCATAATTAAATATTTAACGACGTTATCATTGAATATTTTTATTTTAAAAATTATGAAATGACTACAAACTTTTTTATGGAAAAAAATCTTAGTTTTGAATTTCCCTTGATTTCTCGGTAACGAAACATATTCCTACAAATTTGAACGGTGGGGGAGGTGGAGAAGGAGGAAACAAGTTGTATATTATGATTACTTGTTGATTGGTTGGTGGATATTGTAGATTAGAGTAACCTAGAATTTCACGATTCTTTGGATTTGAGTTTTATGAGTTTTAAAGTGATTTAAAGAAAATGTAAAATGATAGAGTGGTATGAGACAATGAGACAGTTTATCGATATCTCGATTGATCGAAGAAGACGTCAAAAAATTGTAACTGTTGTGTCAGTGTGAGTTAGAAATGAAACTTTAAAACTTTCATCCAGTGGCGGAACTAGACATTTTACTTTAGAGGGACCAATTATAAAAAATAGTATTAATAACAATTTTATCTATTAAATCCCTCATATTTATATGTGATTTCATTAAACAAATGTAGATTTATTAGATTTTTTTATAAATTCATCACTAAAATTTTATTGGAAAGAAAATGAAATAAAATTATAGTAGAAGATTTTGACACTCAAATTGTAGGTGAAACACCTAAAATACTGAGAAAATTAATAGGAATTTACCTTTATTTATAGAATAAAATATGAGCCTAAAATGTTTAAAATATTATGTGAGATTATTGAAATTTTATAATTTTCATCCATTAAATTTTGAAGAAAAATCAAATTTTATTCATATGGATTTTGGTAAAATTCCACGTTGAAAGCTAAACGGAAGTTTGTTTATAGGCATATTATAACGCTTTTCACAAATAAATGTCTAAATTATTATTATTTGAATAATTTTGATATATAACGTTATAAACTTGTCACTTTAAGTATTCGGACCATCAACGGCGTTAATTTCATCCTTTAAGTGATACGTGTCACAATCCAGTAATTTAAAAAGTTTTATTTAAAAATTAAAAATATATATATATATTAAAAAAACATAGAAGTTTCGAAATAACCCATAACTTTGAAAACCTTCATTTCAATCCCTAAACTCACACCGCCCTTTGTTGTCGATGAAGATCCACCCGACCTCACCTCTCCCTGACGACCAAAACCCCTATAATTGTGACCGATCAACAACTAATCTACATTTTATATCCCGAGAACCCTAAGATGAAAATCGCAATTCCGACGACCAATCGGTGACAACTACGACGACATATAATTAGGAGGATGGCATGGACTACATCGACGACGGTGGTTGTGGACGAAAAAGGCGAGGCGATAGGTTAGGGTTAGAATTTGAGGATTTTAGGGATTTTGGGGGGTTTGTAATATTAGAGAAATTAGGGTTTTTTTATAAATATAATAAATTTTTTAATATTTTTTAAAATAAATTACTAAATTACCAAATTGTGACACGTGTCATTTAACAGAAAAAATTAACGTCTTTGACGGTCCGAACACCTAAAGTGATGATGCTTGCAACGTCAAACACCAGGATCATTCAAAGAATAGTTTAAACACGTATTTGCAAAAAACGCTATAATTTGGACAATTACTTTTATAATTGAGCCTAGTTTATATGCTTAGGGCGTGCTGGGTCGTTTTGGCCCATTTTGAGATGGGCTATAAACCCTATATGTTTAGGGTTTTCATGTAAGGAATCTAATCAATGGAAATATTGAATGAAGAATCATCTTTGCCGTTTTCTCCCTACTTTCCTCACTGCTCTTCACCTTATTCTTCATCTTATGTTGATGCCATTACGTTCTATATAACTTGCAGTGATTGAGGGATGTGATTTCAAAGGGTCCACTTGGAATCTTGAGAACCCGAACTTCCTTTGATGTAAAAAGATTGAACTTGTTTGTTATCGATCTCTCATTGCATGGTATTTTCAGTGAAATATGTGTTTGAGTTCATGTGATTGTCCTAATTCTTGGCAGAGCACTCAAGTTATGTGCAGCTGCTGTAAACATGGACAGATATCAATCATGCAGGCTCTAAGTTGGCGAGCAATTAGTACACTGTCTCCCATGAAGGACCTACATCACATTACATTGAAGGTTTCTTCAAGTTTATAAAACAAATTTATCTAGGCATATGTTCATATTGCCTCACTTCCTTTAGTGAATTCTGTGTTTTCGGATGCAAGAAACGGGATTTACGCAGAGTTGATGTTAATGGTTCTTTAGTTGTCCTTATTCTAGGCAGAGTGCTCAAGTTATGTGTAGCTGCTGTAAACATGGACACATACCAGTATGCAGGGTTTAGGTGGGCGAGTCATTAGTACATGGATGCTCATAAAGAAACTGCATTACATGAACATCGCATCTCTTTTAGGGTGCGATCACTTATATTTGTCGTTCTGTCTCGTATAGTATAACATTGAACAAACTATAATGTTAATTTGAAGTTCATGGTTCTTTTAGTTGTCCTAATTCTTGGCAGAGTGCTCAAGTTATGTGTAGCTGCTGTAAACATGGGCACATACCAGTATGCAGGCTTTAGGTGGGCGAGTCACTAGTACATGCATGCTCATAAAGAAACTGCATTACATGAACATCGCGTCTCTTTTAGGGTGCGATCACTTATATTTGTCGTTCTGTCTCGTATAGTATAACATTGAACAAACTATAATGTTAATTTGAAGTTCATGGTTCTTTAGTTGTCCTAATTCTTGGCAGAGTGCTCAAGTTATGTGTAGCTGCTGTAAACATGGGCACATACCAGTATGCAGGCTTTAGGTGGGCGAGTCACTAGTACATGCATGCCCATAAAGAAACTGCATTACATGAACATCGTGTCTCTTTTAGTGTGCGATCATTTATATTCGTCGTTATCGTCTCGTATGGTATAACAATGAACAAACTATACTGTTTGAAGTTCATGGTTCTTTTAGTTGTCCTAATTCTTGGCAGTGCGCTCATGTTATGTGTAGCTGCTGTAAACATGGACACATACCAGTATGCAAGTTATGAATTCAAGATGGAGAAATTTCGGGTCATATCGATTCGAGGTTGCAGGAAACCAAGCGAAGGCTCGAGTTTCATCTAACAGTATGTTGGAAAAAACACAACATGAAAATTTCAAAGTTTCGTCTAGCGGTTCCTTTTATATCACATGGTCTGGAAATATTTCATTTCATGCTCCATCCTCAAGGTTTCATTGTGTGTCACGATGAACATTGTGTTTCGTCATGAAGCAGTGGCGAATCCAGAAATTTAAAAATGGAGGTCTAAAATTTTAATTTTTTTTCTTTTTTCCTTAACATATTAAGCTAAATTTAATAATTTTTTAAAATAATGGAATGCACTTTGCCCTTATGGGGGCTTAGTGCATCCGCCACTGTCATGTAGTTTATCGAACAAAATGATTCCATGGGAAGTATGATGCAGTGTAAAGGGATATTATGGCAAAACAAATAAATAAAAACAAGGAAATTATGTATTTAATACATAAACTATCAATTTGAATCCGCTTTATACTTGAACTTTAAATTTTTTAAAAATCATTCCTAAAGTTTAGTTTTTATTTTATTTTAGTACTCATGTTCAGAATGTATCGTTAAATTTTCGTTAATTTTTTTAAAAAAAATGAAAGTTTAGCTACTAAAACGGACCAAAACTAATAATTTATGTATTAAACGCATTAAGTTTTTAACCGTGGATACTAAAATGAAACAAAATCTATATAAGGTATGATTTTAAAAACTTTTAAACACTGAAACATATCAAAATAGATAGTTTAGGTACTAAATACATAATTTACCCTAAAAAGAATTGCCACTTTTGTAGCAGCTCATACATAATCTAATTTCTCAATTTTGGTCTATTTTAATATTTAAACTTTTTATTTTTTCAAAATCATACTTAAAATTTAATTTTTGTTTTATTTTAGTACTTATGTTCAAAATTTATCGTTAAATTTTGAATGTTTAGATACTAAAACGGATCAAAATTGATAGTTTAGGTACTAAAAGCATTTAAGTTTTTATCTTTAGATACTAAAATGAAACAAAAATTAAATATATAGTATGATTTTGAAAAAAATAAAAAATTTAAGTATTCAAACAGAATAAAACTAATAATTCAAGTACTAAATATGAAATTTAACCTAAAAAGAACCGCTACTTCTGTAGCAACTCATACTAATCGATTTAAATGTCCAACCCAATCTAAACAGAACCCCAAAACATCTCAAAACAACCCCAAAACCAGAACCCCCAACAAAGTCACCGACAAACCAGCCTTCAATCCCGCACCACCGCTCGTCGGAGAAACGGCAGGTCCCTCGAGTCCGGTCGGAGAAGGTGCCGGGGAGATTCTATGCTTTTGAGACAGCACCACCACAATCATCTTCTGGCCTTGCTCACAGTGACCCTTTGCTCCGCTGATGAAGAAAAAAGGTCCCGACTTTCGAAGCTCTACCTTGGTGTCTCCATCTTTGTACTCCGCTAGCGGCTCCGAGGTGCTGCAGCTCAGGTACGCCTCCTTCGTCACCTGCAGCACCGAGTCTTCGCTGCCGTCGTATTTCCACACTGTTGACCGTAAAGGGAACCGTTAACCAGTGTTATAGAAGAGAAAGGTGCAGAGCATTGAAATGAAAAGAAAAACAGTCGTACCGAGCGAGTCGCCGATGCGAAAACGAGCTTTTTCGGCCCATTTGTTGAGGGAATCAGACTCAGAAGATGGGATCTTCCAAGCGTCCGTTCTGCTGCCGACCAAGATTTCCTTGGCCTCCGTGAAGGTTAGAAAGAGAAACAAAAGCGCCAAAGGAGTAATCTTTGTTGAAGGAAAACCAGCCATGGGAAATGAAGGTTTGGAGAAGGTGAGCTGAAACGGATAGCAAAGGTGTTTTATGAGAGGTGAGTTGGGAGTTGAGTTAGTGAGTGAGTCAGGGTGTTAGTGGATATATAAATATATATGGGTGAGAATTGGAGGGGAAGTAGCCGTTGCAAAGGATAGTTTTAAGGGTAAACTACATATTTAGTATCCAGATTATTAATTTTGATCTATTTTAGTACTTAAACTTTCAATTTCTTTTAAAATCATATCTAATATTTAATTTTTATTTCATTTTAGTACCTCACCGTTAAACTTAATACGTTTAGTGCCTAAACTATCAGTTTTGATTTATTTTAGTACCTAAATTTTTAATTTTTTCCAAAATTTAATGTTAAACTTTTAACGGGATACTATAATGAAACAAAAACTAAAGCTTTTAATTGTGGGTACTAAAATGAAATGAAAACTAAATTTTATGTATAATTTTTTAAAAAATTAAAAATTTAAATATTAAAAAAAGAGCAAAATTGATATTTTATGCACTAAACAAATAGACTCTTGACGCTTCGCCATTACAACGGTTGATGATCAACATGAAAAAACAAAAGGGAAATGGATCTAACGGTCAAACCCAATAATGATAATATCTGTTTGAATTTAATAGATTAATACGCATTATGATTTTTTTTATTAACTTTAACTGATATAAATAAATTATTGTAATTCATTATAAATTTATTTTTATATAATTTTAGTAAAATGTAATTTATATATCAAAATAATTTATGTAAATAATTTTATTAAAATTTTTAAAAATTATATTTTATAGAACAATATCATTATGAATTGTCATATTTTTTTTAAATATTTTTCTTATAATTTATTTTATTTTATTTTATGCCATAATAAATGAATTTGTTCGTCTAATTTATTTTAGATTATAATATGTCTAAAATAGACATTTTATTGAAGAAAAAAACCTTTTTAATAGTAATATCAACCTGATCCAAATATATTATTAAGCAAATTAGGATCAGGAATGTATGATAGATTGGATCAACTTGAATTTAGTTGTCTCCATTTTCAAATAATAATAATAATAATAATAAATGTAAATACCAAACAACATATGTTCATAGATAGCTTTCTACCATTTGACATTAAACATTCATACTTCTGACATTCTTGATGCTCGAACTCGAGACCTCAAAGAATAACAACAATTCCTTTACCACGAATGTCATTTGATTCGAGCATTTTTTCAAAAATTTTGAATACAAGTAAAAGCTCTACCCCTGGTTCAGTAAATAAAGGCAACTTGGGTAGAACTTTTGACAAAAGAATCACAAGATCCTCTCGACATACATCAGGAAGAAGAGGGGTATTCTACAATCAACTCAGCCCAAAAACTGAGGCATTAAACCCTGCATATGAAAGCATGATTGTATCTTAATCTTCAACCATAACCTAACATAACAAATAACCATAAACCCAAAACCCTGTTTTACACATTTAATCAATCTTGACGGATGAGTGGATAAGCCTCGTGAACCAAAAACATGCGTAAAATCCGATGGAACCCGTTAGCACGAAAAACGCATACGAAGCGATTAGCATGAACCCAAAGTAAAGGAGCCCGGAAACCAGTTTCGTGATCTCGAGCTTTGTGAAGAAGTAGAACGTGGCATAGAGGAAGAGGTACAAGGCCGAGGTGCCTGATGTGAGATATGACCACCACCACAGATAATCTTCACCGCATAACTGGAAATAGCAAAGCACAATGGTTATTTCAGCACAAGTGATAAGGAGGATAATGAAGACCAAGAAAAGGAAACCATAGATGTAGTAGAATTGATTCAGCCAGATCGAGGTGAGGATGAAGAACAGCTCGATGAAAACGGCTCCAAATGGAAGTATTCCTCCAATCAGAATAGAGAAAATCGGGTTCATATACCAAGCCTGTCACACTCTGCCCCATATTAGCCGCATATATATTATTATTATAGCACTAAGAATAAATATAGAGCACTAAGATTTTAATAAGGGGGTTATGGGGTTTTAAATATTTTAAAATTTAAGTGGTAGGCAATGGCTAACCACTATGCCATTTGTTGATTTCTTTTTATTAAAATATTGTTTGGTGGGTGTATTATTATTCTGCAAAAACACCCTCTTCCCGTGCATTGAACCCAAAACTGAATTTGTTCAGTAAGCTCACTCTCGACATTATTCGGCTTGTCTCCTCCGATCGGTGGTGTGGTACACCGTCGTGTCCTTCAGTCTCAGCAACGACCATCGAACCAACCCCAACTAACCCAATTCCAAAATCGATCACGGTTAGGCCAAACCGAGAAGAGAAATAGACACCCAAAACCCCGATCGTCGTTTTAATTTTGTCGATTCCGACCACTCCAACAACCGTCTTGTTTCGTCTGTCCGCCATAGGTAAAGTCAAATCATTTAATTTTGATAATATTTCAGTGTTTTAGCTTGAAAATATGTTATAGTTAGTGTTGGTTTGGATTGTTGATAAATAGTTTGAAAAGAGTGACTAATATGTAATTAATTTCGGTTATGGTGGTATTTTCGTAAATATTGTTAAGAAGGTGTTAGTTTCGTAAATATTGTTAAACAAGTGATATTTTGGTATTTATTTCGAAAAAGTGATATTTTGATAATTATTTTAAAAAAGTGACATTTTGGTAATTATTTTGAAAAAGTGATATTTTGATAATTATTTCAAAAAAGTGATATTTTGGTAATTATTTTGAAAAAGTGATATTTTGGTAATTATTTCGAAAAGGTTGATATTTTCGTAATTATTAATAGACTTTTGAGCATCTTTGACCGACTTTAAACGGCCATTAAACGACCTTTGATTTTGTTCGAGTATACCTATTCTGATATTTTTCGAAGTCCTGAATCCATTTCCGAAGTCCGTTTCTCCAAATTCGAATCGAAGGTCTCCAAATCTTTAGTCAAACCCGTTGACTTTGACCTTGACCAAGAATTCGATTTTTCAAAAAGTCATATTTTATGTTTTTCGATATACTGATTTCGATTCCGCAATCGGTTTGGTCAAATTTAGACTCGAAAGCCTCCGAATTAGCCCGTAAACCTGAAAAAAATCATATTTATCTAAGTGTTTTAATTTAGTTAATTGAACAGAATGGTGAAGGACTAATTATAGTTATGTTAAAGGTACTCGGGGATCTCCAGACTGTTTCACTACTCGACCCGGTTCCTCCCGATCCGCTCGTCCACGAGAAGCTGTGAATACTCGTATATTCTGAAACCCTGTTAGTTATTCTATTTAGAATATTGTTCCAAAAATAACTCTGTTCTGATATGGCTTAGGTTCCCGTTCAGTCGAAGAGCCTAGTGAAGCTGGTGCTCGATAGATCTTTCGGACTGACCCTATTATCGAGGTGTGTTCCTTATGTGCAAAATAAATGTTTTAAATATCTGTTTGAAATCTCATGTGCACATGATTGTTTTCTATGATTTGAAATATAATGTTTGATATGATTTTCCTACTAAATGATTTATCTGATTCTGGATTTACTGAAATGAAAAGCATGATTGCCCGATTTCTGAACACTGGATTACTGAACTGATAATCTGTCTGAACTCTGAATTACTGTTACTACTGGTTACCGGCTGAAAAATGTTTTCTACGGGGTACTTTGGGTTCTGGTATAAAGACTCTGGCAGGTTCAATCGTTGTTGGTAATTCCTCGGATAGGTTCAACACCGATTGGTAATTCCTTATGGACCTAAGTCGAGCCTTAGGTAGGCTCTGCGGCCCTGAGATTTTCTTGGGTAAGCCTTTGTGGCCCCGGGAATTGTCTTGGGTAGGCTCGCAGGCCCCAAGGTACCCCTTAGGTTGTGCATTTCTGGGGATCTGCACATGACGTTCGGTTGAAGGACGATGCGGAGTTTTTAAATTAAAAACTCCTATGATGTTTAATGATTGTGATCTGCACTGGTTTTGAAAATCATAACTGTATGTTTTTATTTCTGCACTGTTGGGACACACTGAGCCTCTAGCTCACTTTTCAAATTGTTTTACCCCTTTCAGATACATTCGGATATACACTATGTATAAGGCACTTAGAGGATTGGTACATTTAGTTCAGAGTGTTTTATTATAATATTCAGTTTCCCGAACTGTTTTTAATTATGGTGACATGTACCTTATTTCTGTAGTATTTATCGTTTTATGTCGTTTTCTGCTGTTGTTACTGATATTTGATTTTTGATGCTCCGGATTTATTTTATGTAATATTTTACCAGGTATCTTTCATGTTTTATATTATGAATTTAGTTTTATCGTTAATTATAATATACTTTTATATAAAGATCATTTGTAACATGATTTTAAATTATCGAATAATGTTTTTGGAAAAATGTCTTTCAGAATCTTTAATGTAATCTGCTAGACTTAGCCGAAACGCATAGGCCGGGTCTAGGGGGTTACAATGCTTGTTCAGGGATTTGCCTAGGGATTTTAATAGTCTTAACAGGATCCTCCATTGCTGGTTTCCTGAACCCAATATAACCACCCACAAAAACAAGTGGAACTGATATTCCGAACCATAGGAGAACCAGAGCAAACATTGTACCAAAAGGCACAGCCCCAGAAGACTTCTGGCCCCATATGAGAGCATTTAAGACAAAGAAGATGGCAAAGACGATGGCTGGGAACAGGACTGCAGTCCTGAGGGTTACTTTCTTCCACTCGGTACCTTTAAACATCTTGAGGAGTGTTAGAATTAACAACCTTACGTTTATTGTGGGGTCGGATGTTGTTAAACGAATGTTTTCGCTCCACTTCCCCTCATATTCATGTTTGATATTGCATTGTTATGAAGCAGAAAGAAAATGCCATCAAAATCGGATGCTATACCATAGACAACTAGAATTTACAACTTTACGATATGCATAACTCGGAGAAACTAACCTGTATGGTTTAACCTCAAATCCAACAATTCTAGCAGAGTCTGATTGCAAATCCTTATGATACTTGACAGTAAATGCCAAATGGTTGTGAATGAAGTATTTTTCCTCCTTGCTCTGAATGTAATCAGACAAAGTAAGCATACATAGCAGCTGACACCTCAACAAGAGAAGGAATTTTTTATTCTAATAGATAGTATGTTTACCCCAGCATATTGGCCTTTGAACCCGATATGGTACCCAAGGCTGATAAACAGTGCGTGAATCCTGATCTAATCTTCTAACAGGAACAACAACAGGAAGGTTATCCAGGATCCTGTCAAATGAATCACAATTTAATTAGGAAAAGATCCTTCATTTCAGAACAATTACAAGATTGACAGATGAATTTCAAGTCAGAAAAAACAAATAGCATACATATTGACGCTGTATTCATCATCAATATTCTCCTTAAACTGCTTTGCAGTCTTGCCATCAAGTGTAATTAGACAAAGAACGGTGCACATTTGTGATTTGTGGCTCTCTCATTTTAAACTGTGTTAATTCAAGCCAAAGGGGGGGGGGGAATAAGAAAAAGAGCTAATGGCCATAAAACAATCTGTCTCATCATCATCAGAGATACTAAAACCAACCACATAAGGAGAGTTTTCAATACGGTCACCGCAAAGCACTTCCCCAAGATTCTCTGCACTGTCCAATATCTTTTTCGGAGCACAAAAAGGAAGCGAATAATAAGAGTATGGAAGTTGTGTCTTTATAGACGTCAATTTGTTCACTTTCGGCTTCAACGTATCTCCCTGCAATCCCCCAACAAAAGAATCAATAACTAAACAAAACCACAATAGTTCCTCAATAGAACACTGCAAAATATCAGAGCCCTTTGCAAGAACCTAACGTGGTTCAACTTTAATCAAAGTCATTATCAAATAGGTAAACAAATACACATGATAAGACACAGGTCATTATGACGACATGTAAATTAAAATTCACTGGATACCAGAATTTCCTAATCTCGTGCTAAAGCAAGGTGCATTATGGAAATCAGTCGGCATAAAGTACTATTGCTAGATGCCTTAGATAAATGCAATAAAAATGCATTCGATTACAAATTATCAAAAAGAATGCACTCTCAGCATTGGTGAACTTAAGCTAATTCATTCAAAAACATCGATTCCAACGTACTAGTTGAATCTGAAACAACTTGTAACAAATCAAGAAATCATAATGGCCTCATTTCCATATCCAACACAGAGAACACTCATTAATTCCCTCATCCTATAATTCTACTGAAAAAAAACAGAGATCGAAGTGAAAATACGATATCGAAACCAGATCAATCAAGAAACAAAGAAATGAGATGAAAACGATAGGAGACCTTCTGGAAGTCCTCGGGGGCGACACCGGGAAGGTAGAAACAGTTGGCGCCGCGCACAAGGAAGAGGAGGAGAAGCGCCGCCATCATCGTGGTGGCGGATTTGTTGACAGATCTCGATCGAGATCCCATTTGTACGGCGGAGAAACTCTCAGTTTTCCTCGGAATGAGCGATGAGTCGAGATCCGGGTTTGTTTTTACGGGTTCAAAACTCTCGATACGGTGCGTCTTAGTAATTTTTATTATTTTGCCACGTGTATTGTTCTCTTTTTATCTTGGATCACGTGGTCTGTATATGGTGCGGAACCCGTAATTTCCCCTTTGACCTGCCCATATCATACGATTAGATTTTTTAGTGTATTTGAATTTAGGATAAACTACACCAATGGCAACTATGTTTGGGTAAATATTTGTTTTACCACTGATGTTTGAAAAGTGACAAATCGGTCACTAATATTATTGTTTGTTACAAAATGGTCACTCGACGTTAACAGCCGTCAACAAATTGTTACTACAGTAACAAAATACTAACATGACACGTTAAACCAATTGACTCAGCATATTTTACCCACCGTTTGACTATTCTTCTTCCTCCTCCTCCTCCTCCTCCTCCTCCTCCTCCTCCTCTCCTCCTCCTCCTGTTAGAGGTGCTCCTTTAGTCATTTCAATGCCTTTATCTAAATTTACTCCACTTCCGGTGAAACACATCATATTCTTAACTTTCGCAACAACATTAAGCCTCCCCATTTTCATTCTTGGAACCTTTTAAAGCTTTTGACCCATACCATATTGCTTTTCTAAATGAACTATATTAAGCAATTCACTAACCAAAAACTTTTATAAAAGGGTAAATTATATGTTTAATGCTTAACCTATTAATTTTAGTTCATTTTAGTATCTAAACTTTTAATTTTTCAAAACCCTACTTAACGTTTAGTTTTTCGTTTCATTTTAGTACCTCGTTGTTAAAAACTTAAGGACACTTCATTTTCCTGTGGGTAAATTACATCATTCATCACTCAATTTTCTCATCACTCCTATTTGGATACTAACGTTAAAAAATTTCAATAGACTACCAACTTTCAAATCACTCCTATTTTAATCACTTAATTTATTTTATTAATAATTTTTGTAACCAAAATAGGAGTGAGAAGATAGTTGAGTGATGAATTATGCGATTTACCAATAAAAAAGGTGCCACGTGCAAATCACCCGTTAAATTTTTAACGGTGAGGTACTAAAACGAAATAAAAACTAAACGTTAGATATGTTTTTAAAAAAAATGAAAGTTTAAGTACTAAAATGGATCAAAACTTATAATTTAATTACTAAACGCATAATTTACCCCGAAAAATGTGATAGCACCATGTTTCATGTTTGGTTGCTTTCTTGATAGAGGCTATTCAACCAAAGCCTAAGAGTGGATAATAACATTTAACCATTCCATTTAATCACTAAATAAGGTATAAAATATCTTCGTTTTCTTCATCTTTCTTACTAAGTGCAATTCCTTTATGGACTCTTACAAAATATCTCGAATCACAAACTCCAACATCTCTTAACTTAATATTATTCTACATAAACTCAAGAACACTCGAGTTCATTTTCAAACTCAATCCTATAAAAATGACCGAACATTTTATCGAATTAATTTAAGTACAAAACATGATTAAAATAATTAATTGATAAATTGATCGACAATCGTAAACGGTGCTAGAAGAGTGGCTCTGGTGACTCCGATAACCTTTGGAGAGATTTATTCATTACAAATCATATGAACACCCCAAAGGGTACCGAAACTACTGGAGCCACTCTTCTATCACCGTCTATGGTTGTTGATCAGTTTACCCGTCAACAAAAACTTACTCCATAAGATGATTTTGAATCAATCTAGAAACCGATAAATAATACAACAAAAGTCTCAAACATACATTCCAAGTACCCTATGAATAAACCAACATGTGAATCTTACCGCATATAATGGAAAAGTGCCCTAAGCTTCCCCTTTGATGGGGCACCCATGTGCTTCCCCCCATTGACAAAACAATTTTGCATTTTAG